GAGCATTCATAGCTGGAATATGTGACTTTGTCACTTTCTTTGAGTTTGTGAAAGCATCAGGCAATTGGTTTGCAACATTTTGTAAATGAATAATCTTTTGTATTTCTTGTTCACAAGCATTTGTGCGAGAATCAAGAAAAGATAAATTTGTTGCATTCCAAGTAATATCTTTTGTATGTGGGTCCATTTCTTTAATATCTCCCCCTAAGGCTGAGAATACTGTCTCATCAAAATGACAGTCATCGAACCGTGCGGTGAATAAGTCACCAGTAATAGGTTCTAGATAATTAATAATTGAGGGAGATTTAAAACCAACATAAATTCTTAGCCTTCTTTGAGGACCCAGTAATATAAATTTATGTTCCAAGTAATATCTTTTGTATGTGGGTCCATTTCTTTAATATCTCCCCCTAAGGCTGAGAATACTGTCTCATCAAAATGACAGTCATCGAACCGTGCGGTGAATAAGTCACCAGTAATAGGTTCTAGATAATTAATAATTGAGGGAGATTTAAAACCAACATAAATTCTTAGCCTTCTTTGAGGACCCATTTTAGTACGATAAGGTGGAGCAATTGGTACATACACAGAACAACCAAATATTTTTATGTGTGATATATTTGGTTCTTACCAGATACTAATTGCAATGGGGAAAATTTATGATATGCTGTTGGCCTAAGCCGAATTAAATTTGCAGCATGCATTATAGCATATCCCCATGCAGATGATGGTAATCTGGATTTCATTAATAATGGTCTAGCAATTAATTGTAATCGCTTAATTAAGGATTCAACAAGACCATTTTGTGTATGCACACGTGGAACTGGATGTTCCACATCAGTCCCAATAGACATGCAGTAGTCATTAAAAGATTGAGATGTAAATTCTCCTGCATTATCAAGACAAATTTTCTTTGTTGAATAATCCAGAAATTGTGATCTCAAACGAATAATTTGAGCAAGGAAATTTGCAAATGCAAAATTTCTAGTCGATAAAGACTGACGTGTGACCAAGTGTTGATGCATCAATGAATACCCTAAAATATCAAAAGGGTCCACACGGAGGGGCAATTGGCCCACAAATATCTCCTTGAATTCTTTCTAAAAATGCAGGAGATTCAACTCCAATTTTGTATAAAGATGGCCTGATTACTAATTTGCCAAGAGAACAGGCAGTGCACGGAAAATCACTTGATTGTGGAATCTTGACATTAGTTAATGAATGTCCAAGTGAATTTTGAATAATTTTGTGCATCATAGTGCTGCCTGGATGACCTAAACGATCATGCCACAAGATGAAAGAATTGTGGTCATTATTTTTAGATACCACATTTATCTCAAATGGACTGATATATGTATAATATAGTCCTGAGGAATATGCTGACATTTTTTCAGAAATGTATTTATTGTCAGATCTATTTGTCGTTAGACATAAATATTCCTTCTGGTTTTCAGACATGGTTTCAATATGAAAACCATTTAGACGCATATCTTTAAAACTCAAAAGATTTTTCCGTGATTTACTGGAGTATAAAGCGTCTTTGATTATTAATTTTTGTCCCTTTTGGGAGAATCACACAAGCTATTCCAGAACCTTCAATGAGTTTAGCAACACCTGAGATTGTATTGACATTAGCATCAACTAATGTCATATGAGAAAAATAATCTCTATGTCTCAAAATGGTGTGCGTTGTGGCACTGTCTATTAAACACTGTTCAAAGCCACTTGGAGAAATTTCAGTTAACTCCATATCTTCGCGAAGATAAAAATGAACAAATATTAGTTCAATATTGTAATATAAATTGTACCTCACTTAATAGTACATTTAATTGTGCATAACTTTCACGTTAAAATAAGCACTTTAATTTTATTTCGAAATATACTCCATGTTACATAACAAGGAGAAAATAAAGTGAGCTACTCTATTCTTGCTTTTAATAAGAGAAATAATTTAGCTCACATATTTACTTCTTATTACTTTTTACCTCATCATTTGAGGTTAACGAAAAAAAAAAGTCATCAATGTACACTATAGGGGGTTATTCCCAGAAATTGACAGAAACGTACATAATAACCGTTTGGTTCAAGTTACTGTCATACCAATTGTTAAGGGGCCCATCTTAACAATTAGAGATCATTCAACTCGATAACCAAAGGTCAAGTACAAAACGTATGCTCATAATTTTAGTTGATAGATTGTTTTGATATATATATATATATATATATATATATATATATATATATATATATATATATATAGTCATAAAGACTATTTAAAGAGATGGGAATAACCATGTTGTTTTTGGATTCACTTCACAAATACGGGAGTAATAATAAACATCAATATTATCAAGACAAGTCGAAAACCAGAGTAGTTCTGAGTAGTAGTACTCTGTATTATATAAACTGATAACTCAATTTAGTACTCCGTATAATATAATTACTACCATGGCAGTACGGCTATGTTTGAGTAAGTCATCGAAGCGGGTTCAATATTAATCCAACTGATGTGTTTGTTATTCAAAATACTAGGATAATACGTACTCTGTATTAGTTATAGTACTTACGTATGTAGTTCACTGAGAGATTTATACTCTTCACAGATTCATGAACATATCTTACTAGTACACATATTGAGACTTGCGTGACTTTAGAATCAAATTAACCTTTAATTGACATGTTTCACATCATTCACATGCATATGCAGTATATTGGGAACTTTGAAACAAAACAAATTGAAACCCATCAAGGAAGATTTTATTGCTCCATACATATAGTAGTACGGAGTATTATTTAAAGACTAACAAAGCAGTACTCCGTATAAATTAGTTTTATTTGTAGGTAAATTTGTGTATACACACGTACGCATTTGAGAAATGATATTTTTATTCACTAATCAAAATATAACAAGAAACTTTTGAAGCGGTTTTACGTGAATAAACCACACCCGCTCAATTCTTCAATAATGTTTCAACATAGTCCAATTGAAGCAAGTCACGTTGGACTTATATTCATTTAAATTGCATTAGAATTATCATTATTTAATTACCCTTCAAAACTTCTCAATTTGGTGAATTTAAAAATTCGACATTTGAAAAATTTTGGAGGTTACAAGAACAAAATCTCAACTTTTTAAATCTCAAGCAAGAGAGGGTGGGTCACAAGCCCTCCCCATCCTCCATCTCCTTTAGAAAACCTAACTCCCAAATAAGTTGTCATTCTTCAAAAATTATGAAATTCGTACCTTCCCAAATATAAGTACCAGATGTCCATTCGCACCAACTTTCGAGATAATTATGCGGCCTTGCTCAATTATAAAAATATATAAAAATAACTAATGAATAACAAATACTACGAAGTATGTGTTCTATCAATCCTATATAACTTTGTCATATTTTCTTTTTTTAGTTTCATAAAAAATTTGTCACTTTTCTTCTTAATAAATTGGGTTGTGGTTCCAAATTATTTCTATCCCGATCATCTTCATAAATCTCAATCACACTTTTTACTTTATTATTTCACGTCTAGGTCACACTTTGTCATGTTTTAAGGGGCAAATGGAGTATATCATTACAATTCGAATAATGATTTTATATCGGAGTATTAAGCACCAAGTGCAAAACAATCTCCTAATTGAAACTAACAAACTGATTGCAGTAGGTTAAGTTCTTGCATAAGGAGAACATGTACAAAAACGTATACGGAGTGCAAATGATGTGTTCAAAGTTCAAACATATTTTTCTAGGAAAATTTTCAAAATATGAGTATACACGTTTTTCAATTCCAAAATATGTCATTTTTTTTTTCTGAAATAGGAGTAACATGATAATATTTTCTGTCATTTTCAATTGATTACTGTCAAATAGTTACAATACCAGGCAATATTAACATGATTACAGTATTTACTGTCATTAATGATAATATTTTTCAATCATGGCAATAACGACTCCTTTTGTAGGCAATATTTACTGCCATTAATCTCCTTTTATATTATCTTTTTTATAATAGCTTATCTTTTTTATCTTTTTTTCTTTCTTTTCCTTTTGGTTGTGATATCATGTATCGATTCATGTTAACCGATCCCAATATCTTTTGGGACTAAGGCTTGAATGTTGTTGGATGTTGGTTGATGGCAACAACGACTCCTATTTCAAGAAGAAAAACATCACAATCTTATTTTGGAATTTCAAAATTTGTTTACTCCTATTTATAATAATTTCCTATATTTCTGCCATATAGTGCGAAATTGATATGGGCCGGCACAATATAAAAGTCTCTCGTTCTTTTAATTTTATTTTCATAGAGTTAGGAACAACCAGTCGGTATGATATGAAAAAACCATTCGCTAATTTAAATTCTTCTCACTTTGTTGACACACTTACTAATAGTGGAGAGTAAAATAGTTGTTTTGGGGGGGATTTACATAACTAGGAGTAAATAAACCCTGTTAAAATAGGAGCAAAGTTTAAAATTTCTCCAAATAGGAGTTATTATTTGCAATTCAATGAAAAATACCATGAAGCTTGTTAAAACCAACTGCAGCAGATAGAACGTCGGACTGTTGACGGCCGTCGGACCGTCGCCCGTCACAGGCCACTACCGCCACTGCCGTCGTAGAACTAGCAGCCACCGCAGATTTGACCGTCGGTGCTAAAGATCTAGTTGTCACCGCCGCATATCTTTCCTGGCGGTGGACGGTCACCGCCCCTACAGCTCCGGCGGCTGCTGCTGCAAATCCAACCTCTGTCGCTACAGGTCCGGCCTCCGCTGCGACAGATCTGGCCGCCGTCGGCGTTGATGCCAACATTAGTATTAGAATCTCAACATGAAAGGATAATGTCATTTTAATGGCATTTTCAAAGAAAAATATGGCATTCAAAAGAAAAAAATATGACACAATTTTGTGTGCCTGAGACGGACGAGCGTAGAAAAGACATACACCAAAATGTGTACACCTAATCCAACTCCTTTATATACCCAGCAGCCCAGCCCAGCCCGGCCTAGCCCTGTCCTTAAAGCGGCTGGTGTCGTTTGGGTACTGCATCAGTGCATACCTTCCTGAGTTCTGGTACAATCGCTCGTTTCTTTGAAGTTGAAAAGGTCCAACCTCTTCTAATCTGCCCACTATTCCCCGTCCAATGGCTACCCGGAACGCTAATCGCCGCCGACCTTCCGCTGCCGACGGACCCGTGAAGACGCCAATGCGTAAGCCGGTATTCGTTAATGTGGAACAGCTAACACCCGGGACTAGCGGCCATAACCTCACCGTGAAGGTCTTGAACTCTACCACAGTGCTCGAGAAGAAGCCCCGCAATACGACGTCGTCTCTGACTGGATTCCGTCGCCCTCCTCTGAACACTCGCATCGCTGAGTGCCTCGTCGGTGACGAGACCGGCACTATCCTCTTCACTGCCCGTAATGAACAAGGTTTTCTTCCCCCCCACTTGTATCGTCTTTAAAGCTTTGATGTTTATGAATGGATCAAGTATGCAGTGGATGCTGATTCATCTTGTTCTATAAATTGCTTGATTGATGGATAGAAACGGTTATTCATGACGATGCGCTGATAAGGTCGTATTTAGGGTTGTTAGCACTATTTGGATTTTTAGTTTTATTAACTCTTCGTGAAACTGTGAAAGATTATATGCTTTGAACTTTGGATTGGTTAGCACTTAGCATTGCGTTGGAGTCTCAAGTCTGGATTATCAATAGTAACTTCTTCAATTGTCTTTTTCAAAGCATATGCTGGGAACTGCGTAGTAAATGTACGGACAAGGATTCCGATAGGCTTTGTCATAACTTGATATTGAATTCGATTGAACAGAAGGGACCTCATAATTCGTTTTAATTCCTTTCTCAAAACAGCATTGCTTCCTGATAATCTATAGTTCCACCCTGATGCTTCTGTATATGACAAATGTCTTTTAATTAGTAATATATACTCCCACGTCCTTTGACACTTTGCCAAGTTTGACAAGCGCGAGGAATAATAAAGTAAAAAAATGTGTATTTGGGGTTTGTGTAGAGGTGAGAAAATGATAGGAACCACACATTAATTGAATAAGAGAGAAAGTGGTAAAGTTTTGGTAACGAAAAAGGAACGATTACAAAGCTATAAGGAACGGAGGGAACATAATTTATTAATTATAATAAATAACGGCACCATATGAATCAAATTTAGTAACATAGTTTCACAATACTGTTATCTGAACAGCACTTTATGCCAGACTTCCTTTATTTAGTAACATTGTTCATAATACACCCAAATGGTGCTATAGCAATTTATGCACGTGCCTGGTAAGGATGTCACTATGAATATAGAACAAATAGCTTCAGATATTTGCACTCGTCACCGGCTCTCGAGCTATGCTTAACTAATTCAACAACTTCCTTAGACATCATCATTTTTCGTTTCATACTTCTATTAAATTTGAAACCATATGAGGCATTTTTATTTAGTTCAACAGATAGTTCCTAAGTATTCAAAAATGTTATTGTTGAGATTTATTCCTTCAACCCAAAGGTCCAACACGTTCCAAAGGGTTTCGAATGGAGAGTTAGATGGATATTTGGTGCAAACAAGTAAGATGGGTCAAATGAAGAGTAGTAAGTGGGTCGTATCTTATTAAATGATAATAAGGGTCCGTATACAACACACTTCAACTACAAGTCTCGAGGTCGTTCGTCTATCCCAGTAAAGAAGAGCTAAGATAATTGTTATTTGCTAAGGAGAATAAGTTGCCAACCCTTTACAATGAAATAAATGTTACTATTCATACTACCAAGGATTAGGTAGTGTTGCTGACGTAAAGGGTTGTGGATGGGTAGCTTCCCAACCACCAAATCTACTACATTAAATGCGCCTCCTGCCAATATCTTGGTTTATCTTGGTTTCTTGCCAAGGCTGTAGACGAGTGTCCTCCAGGTCTTGTGTCCCGGGTCCTTGATTTTGGCGAGTGCAAGTCTCGGGCTACATGCGGCTCGTGCACGTTGCTTGGCTGAAGACCCTGGCGTGCTTTGTGGTCCTTGTTTGAACAAGGTCACTGGGGCTGAGCGTCTTGAGGCATCCGACACTCATCCTCCGATCATCTTGGTGGACCACGCCGATTAGGCTCTGGTGTTTTATCTGCTAAGGGGCAATGGGCCGGTCCACGGTTGGGCCATTAACCCAACACAGTCCCTTACTTATGATGTTCCGAGCAGGCACGGGAAATAAGGAAGTATAAGTGCGTCCTCCGAGCTGAGCCCCATTGGCGCTTCTGATGCGACAGTTACTGTTCTCAACAGTTATCATATTATTTTCCACTATTATTCTCCTAGATCAGCTGATTATTTCTCACAAATGTAGACATTCAGTTCACATCACCACTAAATGAGTTGATTTGTGAGAAATCTTGATATTTGCAGTCATTGTACTTTCTGTCCTTTCCCTCTGACCTTTCACCAGCAGGCTGGTCTTGCAATACTCTTTTATGTTGTAGTGATAGGTTGCCTCATACATCTAATCATTCTATAAACTTTATAAGTGCAACTTCCCTTCTATGAACGAAGAGAAGGAACTAGCCTGCAGTGTGATCGTCTGGTACAAAAATTTCAAAATTGGTCACCATTAACAAGATAACAACTCCTTAATACCAACTAGTGTGGGTCAGCACTCAGCACTCATCACTCATTGGCACAAGGCATGAAGTGTATAGTGCCTATTAATTGTCTAGTTAGTACTTAGTACCACCTTAATCTCATAAAGGGCCATATTTCAACAAAGTACAACCCTTTCAATTGATTAAGGTTCAACTACTGTGCATTTGTAGTATGATTATTAAATACAATTTGAAAAAGTATTAGATGGTTTAACTGCTAAAGTAAATTCATCATATTTAACCCACTTGTGACTATTTTTGGCAAATTACACGAAAGTTAATTACTTTTTTATTAAAGTATCAAACATGACTTTTTTAGGACAAAATGTTTTTGAACATGACACTTTTTTAGACTATGGAGTTAAATCTAACATCTTGGTGTAGGTGCGGCTTAACAGGAATATTTGTCACAATTTTTTTTGCTTGGATTTTATTCGAGTTAATATGAAAATAGGTCTTGCTGTTCTGAAAATTCTATACCAAGTCCTTAACTTACTATTTGAGGAAACTTCTACTTTTTCTACCTCAAATTCCATGATCTTTTTTTAATTTAGGCTTCTTGAACAATTCTGAGTTTTGACTGTTTTGGTATTAAGGCATGGAGGCTGTTGTTGTTGAACACTTCTGACCATTCTTTCTCAAGAATGGCGGCAAAATGGAAATGTTCATGTCTTATTGCAGTTCATGGTTATCTGTGGTTTCCATTTATCCTAATATTTAGAAAGAGAATAATAGGTTAGTTCACAAACAACTAAGTAGGACCTGTTTGATCTGATTAAAAAAATGAATTTAGAGAGAATGATCACTTTTAGTCTTTTATACACACTGTTTTTTCGAAGTGCAATTTGCCTAGGCTGTAGTGATGACATCAATGATTGACTGCAGTTGACATGATGAAGCCAGAAACCACTGTAATTCTCCGCAATGCCAAGATTGACATGTTTAAGGGGTCTATGAGGCTAGGCGTGGACAAATGGGGCCGTATCGAGGAAACCAAACCTGCAGACTTCACCGTCAAAGAAGATAACAACCTTTCGTTGGTTGAGTACGAGTTGGTGAGCGTTGAAGAATAGAGATTTTTGTCCTATGAAGTGCATTCTGCCTCTTTTAGTCTCATCTGTTAGGTGAAATGGAATTATATCTTAGGTAATGCGGGCTTGGCTACTGCTAATGAAGTGCAACTTTCCCTCTTTTATCTCTTTTTATCTCTTATTATCATGATTTGCTATAAATTATGTACATCCAGGTTTGAGGTGAATGTTGAAGAAAAAGGTAGTGGAATTTTGCCTCTATAGTTAAGAAAGGCATTTTAGTGATTAAAAAATCCCCAGTTTCGAAATATGGGGGTTTGGCATAGTGTTTTTTATAATTATCATGCTATCGTGATGCCTGTTTATGAAGATTTACCCCTGGTATTCAGCTCAAATATTGCTAACAGGAAAATCGTGGTAAATCTTACTCCAACAAAGAAGCGTTGTGATGAACTGTTTCCATGACTTTCTGCATGTTGTAAGTATTCCCCGAACGTAATCATTTATTGGATTGCATCAGTTCAATCCGCTTAAACATTTGGGCTTGTTGGGTTGCGAATTTTGGAGAAATGGCAAAGGAAAAGGGCTTTAAATAATCAGTCCTTTTCCTCAGCATTATTAGCTCATCTCTACTTGCAGACTAGAAATATACTATCTCTGTCCCAAAAAAAGTGTCATACAGATTTTATGAAAATATTTTTGAGGAAGAACATTTCAATATAATTTATATATTCAAAATAATTTTAGTACTAAAGATATCATTGGTCAAAACTGATTACCATTGATCAAGAAAGTCAAATTGACAAACTTTTTTTGGATTCGAAAAGGTACTCGTAGAATGCTCTATCTCCACTTTATATTCAAATAAACGCCGTCAAGTTTAAGAGGAAAACAACCTTGGGCATAACCGCATAAGGATCAAAATAAATTGATTGAATTTTTTATTTGGCCTAATTATCGATTGAAAGATTTATCTTACAGTCCTTGGGATGAAAGAACGAAAATCACTTTTCTTTTTGAGATTTTTTTAATTAAGGAATCATTTTCAAATAGTTTGGTTATCACCAGTTATGTTTCAACCATCAAAATGGCACTACATTCATCCCAAAATGATGTCATATTAACTTTTCTTGATCAATGAAGGTAAACATTGAACAAAAATTTAACAATATTGACAGTTTCATACTAATGATGACTTTTGATATAAGAAAAGTCAATTTGACATTTTTTTGCGACGGAAAGAGTAGTCCCTTTCCTCATAAAATTAGGGTAAATCAGGTTCAACTAGGGATGGACCAGGCCTGGGCTAGACTTCAGAATGGGTCGGGGAGGGACTGGGGTTTTGGATTGAAGGCCCGGCACCGGCCCGGGTTGGTACCGGGACGGGGTCAGGTAGAGCTACCCGGCCGGGTCTTGGGTCGGGTAGGGTCGAGCATTTTTTATTTTAATAATTTAGTTTAAAAATTAATTCAACAAGTGCGATACAATAAAAAGTATATTTATTTGAAATATGAACTACAATTGAGAATTGAGAAAAAAATTAAACATTAAATACATTTCTTAACAATCAATTGGAATACCGGCACCGTCGGTTGCTGTTTCCTCCATGAAGTGGCGGGTGGAGTCGATGCTAATTTCTTGAGTCGTACGCTTGGCCTTCAATCAATCGTGGAAGCAAACAAGCGTCTCAAAAGATTTTGTGCTCAATCTCGTTCTATAATTCGTTAGGACGTTGTCGTCCACAGTAAGTTCTTGTTCCACGACAACTGTCGATACTGGCATTGATAGCACTTAGCCATTTTTGATAAAATCAAGAACGTTGTTTCTTTGTCCTTCCACCACGGCAGAACGTCAAAGTCATCTCCGTCTTCATAGTCAACAGAGATATAAAGAAAGCTCGTTAATCGAGCTTTGTGCAACAACGGAAGTTGATTTACTTTTTTTCATAAGATTGCCAAATGTAGATATCAAATACTACCTCCGTCCCCCTAAGTTTGGGACAAGAGAAGATGGCATAGTTTTTAATAAAAGTGAGTTTATGTGGTTGATATTTAATTGATAAAGTAAGAATAAAGTAGAAATGATTTAGAACCACACAAACTTTACCAAATAAGGTATGAGACAATCTTAGTGGGACAGACCAAAATGGTAAAATGGGACAATCATAGCGGGACGGAGGGAGTATCATTTAAAATAAAAAATGAATGTGCAACAACCCAATCATTTTTTTTTAAAATGAAAAACTAGCCGTTACCTGCCCGGTCAGGCCGGTCCCCAGATTTTGCAGCCCGTATCCCGCACCTCTTCCTCCCGGTTTGGGCTCCCAGTCGTGGTCCCGGTACCGCCCGGCCTAGCCGGGTCGGGCCTGCACATTACCAGGTCGGGCCGAGTCCCGGGTCTCGCCGACCCGTTCCAGTCATACCTAGGTTCAACCGTTCAAGTTTAAGAATTGGATCGGAACATACAAAGTGGGTAAAGAGCAATGGGTGACCTGATTCTAAATAAAGAAAATACTATCTTCGGCCCATTAACATTGAGACGTGAGGAGACGATGTAGTTATTAAGAATAGTGAGGTTATGTGGTTAATATCGAGTTAATAAAGTACGAGTGATTTAGAATTACATAAACTTAGTGGGACAGATCGAAAAGGAAACATGAGATATTCTTAACGGAACGGAAGGAGTATTATGTTGCATTAGAAATTTAGAATTGGTTTAAACTATCAGGGTAACTTTGATGAAATTATTTAATAGGACTATTTAAGTTATCTTTTTCATTAAATGTTTTCTTTACTTATTAGCAATAACTATTTTAAATATTTTTTTTCACAATTCAACCTGTTCAGTTTCTTCAAGATCATAATTTTACTAATTTGAGCAAATTCAATTTATACAACAGAAATTGATCAAAATAGGAGTAAAAACGTTTTGAAATTCCAAAATAGGAGTATCATGTTTTTTTATTCCCTGAATAGAAGTAATATGCTAAGTTTGGAAAAAATGTCATGTTAAAAGCCGTGTAATGCCAAACTTGGTAGAAATTTACTCATATTTAGGGAATAAAATCACGATACTTCTATTTTGAAATTTCAAAACGTTTTTACTCCTATTTAGAGAGTTCTCTCTTTAGTCAATATTTCACCAATTCCGGCATACTTGATTGATTTAATTTAGGCATTACTAAGCGAGTAAATTAAAGAAAAACAATTTAATCAAGAATTTGTACTCAACATAATAAAGAAAAATGGTCCACGAAAATATATCAGAGTTCTAACAAAAAATAAACAAACCCAAGAATTAAATTATAACACTTCAAACCTTAATCATAAATTCTAGTATGCTACTCCCCCTTTTCAATTTAATCTTTTTATGTGTCACACCTTTTAATGTCCCGGTTGAAAGTTCTCGTTTTTAGAAAATAATTAACATTAACAAATACTTCGTAATAAACTAATAATTAGATATTAAAAATAATACACATGTAACATAACCACCAGCGGAGCTAGAGGGGTGCAATCCATGCTCTGACCCACTCATATTTTAAAAATGTTTTAACTATTAGTGTAAAACAATTTGTAAAAATTTATCCAAGGAGTCTGGTGAAAAATATCTTCTTTCAGTAGGCTAACAAATGAAGATACTTTCTCCGTCCCTTAAAATTGTCATCTTTCATTTGGGATGTCTCTAAAATCTTGTCACTCTCCCTTTTAATCAATTATTTTGTGATTCCTATTATTTTGCTCTTCTTTGTACAAGCATCAACCACGCAATTTTTACTTTAGGCTTAAATATGGTTTTAGTCCCTCCAAATATGACACACTTTATTTTAGTTTCCTTCAAATATTTTTCTTTTCATCCCTCTAATATGCACTATATTGTTTTTAGTCCATCTCTTACTCTGACCGGAACTACTTAATTTGAGAAAAAATTTACCGATTGCATAAATCCACTAGAAACTTTTAAATTATCCTTTTATAATTATTTTTAGACTAATACGAGAGTTAAAATAATGTAACATATGTATTAAAACCTTCTAAAAATAAAATTAAATACTTTTTGAATGATATGACAAAGAATTAGATGAAATCTTTTAGTTGGGTAGTGTTTTTGTCAAACGGATGTTATTGTCATCAATGATGGACTAAAAAGAAAATCAAAATAAATTTCAGGGATGGAAAACAAAAATATAATTTTGCAGAGATGTAAAACAAAATGTACTACATTGCAAGGACTTAAAGCATATTTAAACTTTTACTTTATTATTCTCAATGTCGATCAAATTTGACAAAATTTTAAGAAACGAAGGGAGTATATGTTAATGTTACTCCGTATTTCGTTATGCTATTCTAGACTATATGGAAAGCACATAATGGCTTAGTGTGTAAAGGGAGGAGTTTCACAGAAACAAGGGTTACAAGGACTGCAATTTGAACTTATCGAGTTGAAAGCTGCACAAATTACAGGGAATAGATTGGATGTTTTGCAGGATGTCCCAGGGAAGCAAAAACTACAAAAAATGAATGTTGATGCTGCGAATGATATCCACACAAGTACTACGTAGATGGGTTTGGGGGTGGATTGCTAGAGAAAGAGGACCATTTGTTATCCATACGGATTAACATATACTCCAGAAAGAGGACCATTTGCGACATCGATTGAAACGGAAAGTATGAGGGTCAGAGAAGCCATTTTGTGAGCCAAGGATAATAAGTGATAAAATGTGATAATTAAAACGGGTGCAACCTTTATCATTTCCGGGATGAAGGAGAGGAGAATATGGGTCTGTTTACAACAGTTTCTGCTTTTAAAAAAGTGTTTTTTTTAATGAAATGGGGAGAAGTGATTAAATAAAAGTTGATAGTGTTTGAGAAAAAAGTGATTTTGAAAAGTAAAAGTGGGTAGTGTTTGGTAAAATAAGTGTTTTTTGTGTAATAGAAAAAGTAAAAGCACTTTTTACGCGGAAGCCGAGAAAAATAAAAGTTGTAGTGTTTGGAAAAATAAGTGCTTTTTTAAAGCTAAAAGCTGAGAAGTGCTTTTTTAAAAGCAGTTGCAAACTAACCCTATATCTCAAGTGGAGATTATATAAAGTGGTTCATTTGTTGGTTGGCAAAAGCGACTACTTAAATGTGGTCAGATAGTTACTTTTTATTCTCCGTCCGATTTGATTGTAATCGAGTTGGCAAACTATTCTTTGAATTAATCATATGCTATTTATTATTTATTCTAAAAAACATGGAAAAGAAATAAAAACAAGTAGAAGAAGACGAAAAAAGAGGTAATTAAAGTGTCAAAAGAATGACAATAAAGAAAAATGATATGTGAGACTATTTCGAGAACATTTATAAACGGTGGGATGTATTGTTTAATGTTTTGCAAAGAAAAAGGAAAAACCAAAATAAGTAAATAACAGGTCATCGACAGGTTCGGACACAAAGAAAAAAAAAGTGAAAATGTGAGATCAATTACAATTATGTGAGACTATTATAAAAAGACCGGTAAAATGTAGGACTATTATTTTCAATGTTCATATATATGAGAGAGTTCAAATATAGTCACACGGTTCTTCAAAAAAAT